GCAGACGGATGAAAATTTCATGTGTCGAGGTGGAATAGACATGTTATAGACATTATAAAATTTCAGTATTTTTGCTATCACAATATCCCTTTAGATAGCTTTCTCCATACTTTAGTTTTTTTTAGTAAATTCTGGTACGATAAAGTCGCTCGTCATCTTTCTCAAAATTGAATGTGACATTTCAAGTCTACGCGACCCCAGGAACTTCGCGTAAAAGAAGGTGGAGGAAAAGTGGATGAAGTCTCAGGAATATCTGGCTAATTCGCCCGCTTGTTCTGTCTTTTCTCATACTTTTTTCTTCCATTTAATACGGTTATGGAGACAAGCGGTGCAATTAGATGATGGCGACCAAGAGGGTTGCGTGTCTTCTCATTTCAGACGTATAATTCAAAATTACGGAATTTTCCAGAAATAAAACAGATTTCGTGTAATTAAGAAATTGCATCGGGCTTGCAGGGTTCTCTACCAAATAGGAAAATAACAGATAAAGGATACACATAAATTATTAGGAGTGTTTTGGGATACGGTAATACTAGTAGCAAAATTCGTGATTACTTTTCGTGAGATTGAAAACTAGTGGGTCATACTTATAGACACTCAAAGCTTCAAAAGTGACAATACATTATTTTTCAAAAACCTTAACTTCAACAGGATACCGATATATTTCTTCCAAAAAGTATACATTTAAGGACAATTAACAATGTACTTCAAATATTAAAAGTACACCTTTTGCAGCCTACTGACCTTTTGGAATGATCACCAAAGCAGATTCAACTTACTTGGCCATTACCTAATACCTCAACCACCGAGCAGGCGTCAGTGCTAAATATCCGTGAGTACTGTGGGGCTATAGTGGAATACAGGGGAAAGGGGGAGACTTCAAACATGTTTTGAATAGGAAAGCGCCAACCTCCAGAAAACTTGGTGTTGCTTTGTATAGATGAAAAATTACAATTGATTTCGACCGTTTTGCTTGTGTCTTGAAACTCAAAAAAAAGGTGGGTCACTGGACTGTATTAAGCGTGACTTAGACAGTGACAGAAGTTTAAGCACGGAGGCACCGCGGCTGCTATAAGGAGCTTATAGACTGCCTGTTAATCCGATTTTTGAACTGTCTAAGGTCACTAGAACTGAGAAAAGCCTCCGGACGGAGATTGCTCCACAATCTCGATACCCTACGGACAAAGGAGCTGTTGTATCGGCCAGTTATGGATGCACGGCGTCGTAGAGAAGGGCTCTGAGGAACAAAGTCTGTTTACATAGCGGTAGAAGAAAGCCAGATGGCTGACGAGCCGCCAGTACGAAACTACTAACTGCTGTTATTTATCACTCGTACAGGCCTCCTCTGAAGAGCATGGAGGATGCACAATAGGTATAGTCGGGGCAGCAACACCCCAATCATATGAGCAATCTTCGAGGCTAGGCTTTATGAAAATACGCAACTCTTAAATTCTCAATGTCACCCGTAAGTGGCAGAACTTTTTCTACAATAGTCTAATCATATTAGCAAATTTCCCCTGAATAATTGTAAAGTCTGGTTTTATTGGGGGTATTTAAAACATGGATAAAATGGGTACACCAACTTTTGTTGGAAAACTTTTTATTTGACAACAAAGAATGAGAAAACGTGTTTTTTGGGATTTAATCGGAAGTGCTGATAGGAACGAAAAAACTTCTCATTCAAGATTTTTAGGTATTTATGAGACCTACAAAATGAGACCACACGTGGAAAGATCCGACTGATACCAAAAATGTATGGCCGAAAAACGAGGGAAAATGCAGGTTTTGGCACTTGTTGGTAATGCGACGATTATTTCACGCAACTGCTTGAAATTCTTTGAATCCGTAGGATTCATACTTCCCAATAACTGCAACAAAATTGGAGTATATTGGTCAAGTAGTTTTTTGAGAATTTCTAATTGTTTATCCCTAAACACCTGTTTGTTATCCATCACTACTAGTGTATAGAGCAATATGCGGGGTTCGTTCAGAGAGCATTTAATAGCAAGAAACACGTGTTTACCTTGCCGATATGAATCACAAACCATTCCGAAAGATACATGTTATTTTTATGCGAAAAACAACGGTTACGTCTTTTTCTTCTAAACAAATTCAAATATTTCGTATTTGTGGGTAATTGAACAAATGTGCTACGACATTCGAAAACATACGTTACCATACACATTTTAAAGCAAAGCGGATGTGTCTATCATCTTTTGTTGAGAATTACTCACAAATATGAAATATTTGAATTTGTTTAGAAGAAAAATCGTAACCCATCCTTTCTTCTATAAAAATAACATTTATCTTCCGGAATGGTTTGCAATTCATATCGGCAAGGTAAACTAGTGTATTTTGCTGTAAAATGCCCGTTCAACTAACCATGTATATTGCTCAACACACTGGTAGTGATGGCTGGAAAACAGGTGTTTTGGGATAAACAATTAAAAATATCTACTCAAAAACTACTTGACCAATCTATTCCAATTTTGTTGTGGTTATTTAGAATCCTACGAATTTGTAGAAATTCAAATATTTGCGAGAAACCATCGTCGCATTACTAACAAGAACCAAAACATGCAGTTTGCCTCGGTTTTTAGCCATAACTTTTTTGCTATTAGTCGGATCTTTTTACGCGTGGTCTCATTTTGTATGTCTCTAAAATACCTAAAAACCATAGTTTTTGCGTTCCTGGCAACACGTTTTCTCATTCTTGGTTGTCGAATAAAAAGTTTCTCACAAAAATTGGTGTACCCATTTATGCGTCCATGTTATGAAAACCCCATCGAACAACTTGCAGTAATTATTTAGCAAACCAGGGGTATTTTCGTCTAATATGACTAGGCTACAAATAGTCTTATTTTTTCATCGATTCATTTTTATTCTCTGACACCACTTAACATCCGTCACACGTCAAAGACATTCAACTGTTTCGCACATAATCTAAATATTTCAAGAGTCCGTAATTCCTTGCAAAGGAAAGGCTGTTAGTATTATTTTTCTTTCTTATTGCATGTAATAAATGAATGCATAAGTTATCTTATAAGTTAAATTTACTTCAGCTTTAACAAGACACAACTCATAGTATGATCCTGAGGTGGTAGTCCTTAATATGAAATGAAGGTACCTCCAATATAACCTGTTTTGTGTTAACCGTATGTTTAAGCATTGTAGTTAAAGCTGGAGGAAGTAACGTATACATGGGAATTGAAGACTCAGCTTGCGATGTAGGATATTGTTTCAAGCACAGCAAATTTTGTTTTGCTAAGTTCCATAAATCCACGGACTGTTTTAGGATCTCACTTATTTGAATCCTTTCATAAATTTCATTTTTATCTCGATATAACCTAAGTACCGTTCAAAAACAATAAGAATTTTAATTTGTTTCATATGGTTCGCTAGTTTCGTGGAAAGACTATACCCTCCAGGAAAACAACCATTCATATACAGTATATTGTACATGTATTACACAGCTGCGATATCATAAGGAGTGCAAATGGTAGTACCTGTTTAGTTTTACCTGATAAGGATATCTTGAGTATCGTATTATATCTGGTTCAGTGTGAATCGGTAAATCGGGAGATAGAGAGTAAAGTTACAGGTCGAACCTCTTTATTAGGATGGCATCATCACGCCACTTTTGTCATTTATACTGCTTATGAATACTTGACATTTGAAGGGTCATTTTATATCCACTAGTACCGATTACAATATATCTATAATATCAAATGAATGATTTTATAATAAACTTGTACTAACGAATATAAGATGGGGCAATAATATTTCCTGGTTTAATACCGAACTAAGGGCAATGAGGGAACATTTGAGGTTTTTGAGAGTGACCAGTATTATAAAAACTACAAAAATCTATAGAAATAAAATAAGAAAAGCTAAGATAAATGCTAATGACAACCTTGTAAAGAGCTCAAGTAATCCTGCTAAAACCGTGTGGGATATCATTAACAAAAAAAGAGGTAAGAGTAATAAGTGCCCTGGGAGCAGTGACCTGTCACCTGATGGCTTTAATAATTTTTTTGGTAACATAGCAGGTAATATAGTAAATCACATCCCTGATGTACATTTAGATCCTGTTAATAATATTGCTTTCCTGGTACCGCCACCTCTGTTTTCTTTTTCTGAAGTCACATTTAACGAGGTTCGCGATGTAATAGATAATCTCAAAAATAAAAACAGTAAAGATATTTTTGGTTTCAATTTAAAAATTGTAAAATGTATAAAGAATATAATTTTGATCCCTCTAACACGACTGATTAATATTTGTCTTAGAGAAAATATTTTTCCAACTGTTCTAAAGAGAGCTAGTGTCACAACTATTTTTAAGAACGGTAATGTTGATTCACCAGAGAACTACAGACCTATATCCCTTCTTCCAGTTATCTCTAAGATCTTTGAAAAATGTATGGCTTTGAGACTGGTAACCTTTTTTGAGGCAAATGAATTGTTTTCACAATATCAGTTTGGTTTTCGCCAGGGTAAGAGCACTGTTATGGGTGTACTTAACCTGATTTCTTCTATAATTGATGCTTTCCATGGAGGAGGGTATAACACGGTTCTTTTCTGCGATCTTAGTAAGTCATTTGATTGTGTGAGCCATGACATCCTTTTAATAAAGCTCCATGCGTACAACTTTAGTTATGATTCCGTTAAACTAATTGAGTCTTACCTTAGTAATAGAACTCAGGTGGTGAGATATGATGGAGTGACATCAGCGGAGCGAAGTGTTAACATTGGCGTCCCACAGGGCTCCATCTTGGGCCCAATTCTTTTTTTAATTTACATAAATGATTTACCTCTCAATAACAATATGGCAAACTTTACTCTCTTCGCGGATGATACGACCGTCTCTCACACCGCTAATAGTTTTGAGCGCTCAATGGCACAGTCTCTGGCTGCGCAGGATGAGGCTGAGCTGTGGTTTTGCTCCAATAAGCTGTGGCTAAATAAAGATAAGACAAAGAGAATGGTGTTCTCCATGCGAAGCCTGCTTGGAGACAGTGATTTGGTTGATGAAGCCAAGTTTCTGGGGGTTACTTTGGATCCAAGATTGCAATGGGGCCTTCACATTGACAGTGTTGCTGGAAAGGCCACCAAAGGTATATATGTGCTACGGAGTTTGTCTTCTTGTGTTTCTGTAGAAATATTGAGAATGGCTTACTATGCCATTTGCCATTCACATATATCCTACGCCATTCTGGCTTGGGGGCATTCTTCAGGGGTCCATAGACTGTTCGCCTTGCAAAGAAGAGCAGTTAGGGTTGTGAGCCGTCTGGGCTACAGGGACGATTGCAGAGATACCTTTGTCAAGTTGGAAATCCTTACTGTGCCTTGTTTATATATTTTTGAAAATCTACTATTCGTTAAAAGAAACTCTAACTATGTAACTCATGGGGACGTCCATGAGCACAATACTAGGCATAAGAACAATCTAGTATCTCCTTATTGGCGACTGAGAAGGTGTCAAGATGGACCTGGTTATTGGGCGGTCAAATTTTTTAATGTACTTCCAGACGGCTTAAAATCGCTTCCGTTTAAAGATTTTAAAGTTCAAATCAAGAAAATTCTTATTAATAATTCATTTTACACGTTTGAAGAGTTTTTAAGACATAAATTTTAACTATAAATCTTAATATGTTATGTTAGCGTTATATCTTTATGAGTGCTGGTGTACTTGTTTGTAATTTTTTATGATCATTAGCACTCCCTTTGTTTTAATTCTAATGCAATTCTCGTTTGATCTACTGACGTATGTAAACATATTTTATGTATTGTGACATGAATAAAGAATTGATTGATTAATTGATTGATTGATTGATTGATTGATTCTGGATAAAATCCAATCACACTGGAAAATATCACTATAAGAATTTTGAAAAAGTTAGACGCCACGCTATGTAATGCATGTCGCCATAACTCTTCGTAAAGAACTCTTTCAACCACCGCACTAGCAAAAAAATTAAAACGACTTTAATCCTTCCAATTCTGAAGACCGCGGCTGTCGGAAATCTCTTATTATCGCCCAGAGCTACCCAGAAGGTTCACTTAAATTGAAAAATGGCGTATTCCTAATCTGCCCATTCTTTTGTATCCGTGATGCAGCGGGAAACATGGCACGAGCGAGGGTGCTTTCGGGGGCGGAAAAGGGGCTGCGAGGGGGTGGCGAGTCGACAGAGGGTGTCACCGGACGGCAAAATGCATTGGGGAGAAAAAAAGGACGAGTGCATTTTTATTGGACGACTCGCAGCTTTTTAGGCGATTATTGATCGACAGTTATGGCTACCGTACAGGGTGTTTGATAGAAATGGATTTTAGCTAGAGGCGGTTATGTTTTCTGTACATCGCAGTCATACTAGAGTCTTTGCGAATGACCTTAAAAATTTAATTTGATTATGCTTCCATGCATAAATCAAGTTTCGTGCCAATCATGAATCCAACTTGTCGTAGTAGATTAATGTAACTCTGAAACTTTTCTGTGGTTTTCTTGTTTATAGGAATCCAGCTCAAGGCCACATATACTAAGTGACATATAAATCCGAAAAAATTTTCAGCCTTATCAGTTGGACATTCCGGTTTTCATACTGCTTTTTTCTAATTCACTAACGCTCTAAAAATTAATATTTCAGCCGCAGTAAAGAATCAACGTTGGCGGATTTTGGTTCTTGACATCCTTTACGATCGGTTACGATGCCTAGAGTACGGAGACCTGTACGATTTCGTCAACTTAGTGAGTTTGATAGGGGCCGTATAGTGGGACTTCGGGAAGCTGGACTTCCTTTTCGAGCAATTGCAGTTAGAGTGCAAAGAAGTGTAGACACTGTGGTTAGGTGTTGTCAGGCATGGCTTCGAGAAGGCCGTACGCAAAGAGCAAGGGGCACTGGACGCCGCCGTAGAACAATAGACCGTGAAGACCGTCGCCTAAGATTATTGGTCTTAAGGGACCGTTTCTCCACTACCAGGTCCATTGCAAATGAATGGTTTGCAGAACACGGAAGACCTATTGGCATGCGAAGTGTTTACCGACGAATGAGAAGTTTTGGCTTGTTTTCATACCGGCCACACTGGGTCCTCCCTTTAACTCGAGAACACCGACGTAATCGCCTTGAGTGGCGCAGACAACGGTCACTCTGGGATCAGGAATGGAACAGTATTGTCTTTAGTGACGAGTCTCGATTTTGTTTAGGCATGCACGATGGTAGTGCCAGGGTTAGAAGGCGACGTGGTGAAAGGAGGAATCCACAGTTTTCTGTTGAAAGACATGTTCATCAAACTGTTGGAGTTATGGTTTGGGGTGCTATAGCTGATGGTTCCAGGTCACCTTTAATCTTCATCAGAGGTAACATGAACGCGCAGCGTTATATCCACGAATTTCTAGAACCCCATCTTTTACCCTATCTTGACACCCTGGCAGATCCAACTTTCCAACAAGATAATGCCCGACCACATGTTGCAAGAGTCACAATAGACTTCTTTCAACATAATGATGTCACATTGTTACCATGTCACCAAGATCTCCCGACTTATCCCCAATTGAGCACGTGTGGGATATGATGGGTAGGAGATTGCTCAATTTGCAACGTCCTCCTCAGACTCTAGAAGCACTTCGAGAGGAGTTGGTGGTTGCCTGGAATGAGATACCACAGGAGGACATTGACCACCTGATCAGAAGCATGCCTAGGCGCGTTGGAGAATGGGTAGCACATCAGGGTGCATCCACACATCATTAAAGGTCAAAGGGCTTTAAAGCAGTGCAATCATTTTGAAATTTTTATCATTTACTTATTATGCTTCATTAAGTACTTATACAAAATTTTATTAAAACAAAACCATTTAAACTGGGTGTTCGGATTTATATGTCACTTAGTATATGTTTAAATCCCTGTCTATCGTACGAAGTTCCCACCAACACTGTGGATTGTTTCAGGTATAATTGTCACAAAATAGTTAACTGTGCCACTGTGGCTTTTTTCAAGTACAATTGTCACAGATTTGACAGTTTTACTTGATAAAGACATGAATCTAAAACATTAAAGATGAATCTAATGATGTATTGTGGATTTGGTTCTCCAGATCATGGAATCCTTCGTCAGAGACGCACAGCTTTTCTTAGTGTCAACAGACGATTTTGTACTGTTTCGAGGTCAAATTGGACAGAAATTGGAGATTTATCCGCTAAACAGGGTGTTAATAACGTATCTGCTCAAACATCAGGATGTGGTTCCCTAGGTGAGAAGCTACATAGCTCCAATATTGTTTCGTTTTCTAGATACAGCATGTTAATCCTCTTTAGATATCGATTTTTTTGTGAAAGCCGCCTCAATAATGGGAGTGGAGTAAAATATAATGTATTTAAATCCGGAGGTTTGAGGGTTCTTTTTTTATACTCATCGTATACAAGGAATTATCTATTAGACTTTTGTCAGATAATTAATTAACATCCTCTAGTTAGCTCAGAAACTAAACTAAGTACTACCCTATAGCTTCGCAGTAACATTATTTCGCAAATTAGCGGATACCCCGGATTCATCAAATTCTGAGCCAGATATCAAAAACGATTCAGTGGTTTTTCTTAACATTTTCAGGTAATCACAAAGTACCCCATAGCTTTCATATGATGTGTTTTTAACCAATTAATAGTTGCTTCTATGAATACTGAAATGATACGGGAAAGGAAGTCTCTCATGCGTCCACGTAGGTGTTACATGGATTATCTCAGAAACAAAGTAACGGAATGCATTCAAACTCAGATATAATCAAATAATTACCAAAGTAAGGTAAATACTGCAGTTAACTAATTGCGAAATTGGACAGAAATAAATAATGCAAAGGGATATTTCGTTTTGATCAGGAAGCAAATGCAACAACGAAAGTGACAAGCTTGACTGTGCAGAACCTACTAACAGCTTTAATTATAGCTCTGTTCCAACAAATCATTGAACTAGTTCTGAACTAAATGAACATTCGAGATCGAGATTATTGTTTCAACAGAAAATAGAACTGATTCCGTAACTGGCAGCTTTCTGTTTCAACAAATTCTGGTACTGAGGGAGAATAAAAGGTTCGAATTTACTTCGATAAGGTGTGCATAGCTGAGAAGCTGGATTTTATGACTGGCATTTTGTGCCTTTTCTAATTTTCGATACTCTTGTATATCAAAACCTAAATTTCAACCACTTATTGCGGCGTTTCTTACACATATTAAAAAAATGGGCGACGACGAATATTGCTTTGAAACAGAATCAAGTTAAGACGACGATTTTGAGCTGAAAACCGAACCAGAAAAAAATATTATCAAGTGCTGATAATTCTAATGAATTTGTCTCGATCATGTTATTAGTAATATTAATCCTATATATTCCTTTCATTTCAAGTTAATTACTCGGCTAGGCAAAATGATGAATTCTTTAAGGTATTCTAATATCTGCCATCTCGTACACCCAATTTTTTTTAAAGATTTAAAACGCGAGTATCTCAAACTCCACGTCTAGTATGTGGAAACTTGAAAGAGTTAAGTTTTGCTTCAATTGAGGTTATGTTTATGACAACAACCCATGTGATTCTCTATTCCAACAGGTCAGTTTGAAACTAGTTTGAAACTGTACATACCTCGGGCATGCGTAGAAAAATAATTCGAAATTTGTTCTGAACCAGTTTGGAACTGCTTAATGGAACAAACCATATATTAAGATATTTTTAGCCAATGCCTGCATACTTATGCCGTTATTGTGTCACTTGTCCACGCAAAAATGTCCAGCTTCAGAATCAGTGGCAGATCTAGGAGTGTGTCATCAGGGTCTGGACCCCCCTCTCATCTTTCAACCTTTTAATCCCATAGACGAACATTTTCCTGAACACGAATCATGAACTCCTCCCCCCTCGCAGCTCTTTATGAGCGGGTAATTTCAAATTCACCATGTGGATCCCCAAAAATATTTCTAGATCCGTCCTTGTTCAAAATTTCCCAACCTGTAAACTGTGTGCATACATATCGGTTTGTTTGAAACTGATATTTCCATCTAAGCTTGTAGAATAGGTCGATAATATTCTTACTAGTAGGGAGCAAAAAACTTGCGAGAAGATGCGCCCCTCATTTTTACACCCTCTTTAGAGAGTTTTTATCTCCCTACAATACAACGCCCTCGCTGTAATGCGGCTCATCAGACTTTTCAGTGAATGTGTGCAACTTTATGAGGGAGGAGTCTTAATATAATCCAGCTATCGAATTTCTTGAATTTTATATTTCAAAGTTCAATGAGTAGGTGCCACGGTTTTATAGTACAAGCCACCTAGAATTCA